TCTTACGGAGGCAATTTGCATCGAGTGTCATTGGCGTCGGTTAACTAGCATACATTTTAACCTACTATTTGTATAAATTGATTACTGGAGATCTACAAAAGAAAGGAATGCATTAGCAATTAGGTCGAAAACATTAAACGTGTGAAAAATACTTAAAGATTTTTTTAGCCTTGAATTTTAGTTCACGCAAATATTTTGATTGCAGAATTTGACTCGGATGTACACTCAATAATACTGATCATACACAACTTTTTAGTGGTCGTCTGAAACGTCGATCTTACGATTAGACATTTACTACAAAATATGTCCCAAAATCCCCTTACATTTTCGGTACTTTTGTCAGACTAAAACCAAAAGCAGAATCTACGTAGTACATATACGTATTTAGTTACATCTGAGCCTCACCTTGACCCAGTGGCTCGCCGGCAACGTACTATAATATAGGACTATAGGTACTTGTATTCGAAACCAGTTCTGGGAACATTTAGGCACAAAATGTTGTCAGTTTATTTATTTTCCTCGTATGAGACATAACTCTTAATTTAGGTCGGGAAGATGTTTTTTGTGGATGTAAACGTTTATTGGAAAGGAATGGTGAATAAGCCAGTCTGTAAGATTGTAATTAAGGTGGTCAGCACACTGAGAGATTGGGTAGTTGGATTTTTCGTTTGATTAGGAATTAGGATGTTTACCGATTGTAGAACTGTATTTTAAAGAGTAACAATGCTCTTATTTTTTTTGGTTTTATGTTTTTCATACTAATCTACATTTTGGAACGAACTCTTAGCTTCTTTGTCGGGAAATTCTATTCTGACATTTCAAAAGTGCCTATATATGTTTGTGCTTCAATTTTGAACTAATTTCTGATTGCATTTTATATACATTTCTCAATGAACAAGCTATCAGTGACAGCATTTGTTTTAAGATGATAACATTTTTACCCATTGATATGTAGCATTTAGTAATTCATCAACTTCTTTACAAAAGTTCTTCAATTACAAAGACATCTTACCAACAACAATACAAACATCGTCACCATTCATAGCAGAATTTCGATCCCCTAAATACAAACTCCACACAATACGACCCTCTTTCCAATCTCAATATTATCAGCAGACATTTAGTTCCCGTCCATAATCATCTTGGACAAACACAATCAGCTCCAAGGTCCCATCAGGTCCAAATACCGCGCCCTTTCAACTACACCCCAGGTGGGGGACATTGCGAGGGGGTGATTTGTGAAAGTCACGTCACGAAATACAAAAACAAATATGGACGTATTTTTTTGGATTAGGTGGTTATCGCATGTCGGATAAGCGTGTTTTATTACTTGGGATTTTGAGAAAATGTGGAGCGTTTATGCTTGTGTGGATTGGGTGTGATTTAAAGTAAAGGTTTCATAAACTTTTTTATTTTATTTTAGGGAGTTATAGAAGATTTTATAGGAATTTTGATTGTTGAGTTTTACGATAAAGATGTTGCTTATTATGTCTTAGTAATTATTTAAGTAGTTAGGTCCTCGCGGAGAACCTAACGGGTAACCGGGGCTCCGGGTCGACGTGCAGGAGAAGGAACGGGGTGGTTTTTAGTCAGTAAGAGTCTGACACTCCCTCCCGCCGCCTCACCCAGGCGGGAGCAGTCATTCGATGATTTTCCCCCCTTCAAAAAATGCTTGTGGTTATTGGAATTAGCAATGAGGTAGACCTCTAATCTTTTACTGTTATGGTCCCATAGTCTCATAAGTAGATGTAGTTTACGTTAATGTAAAGTTGATATTTACAAATATACTTTGTCGTATCATTCTTCTGATTCTCCTTAGAAAATGGCACCATGTCATTTGGACGATCAAATTATTCAGTAGAACAACAGTTCGAAATTTAATTTTGTGCACTTACTCTACAACAGTAAACAAATATGGCATCCTCAACTCAAGATACCGTTACCATTCTCGTACAACACATGACAGATACCCATCAACAAATACAAGATTAAAATCGAAAGCTTACAAAAACGAATTTAAACTAGTACGGTACCGTACTATGTCAGTACTCGTATAAAAACTATGAATGAATGCGCGTTGGTCGGCCGGGTTGCGTACGCGCACCTAATATGGCGAACGCTTATCTGCTCTTGCGCATACCTTACTGGATTGGAGGTTTAGAGGATTTATTGTTGGCAGTCACGTGCTGGATTGTAGGTCGAAATTGATTATTAATCAATTGAATAATTTATTTTGAATTTGGTATGCAGTTGTTTTACATACTTATAGTATGTAATATAGGATTTGAAAGGCATTTTTAATTGAAAGACGTTGCCCTCCACACTAGGACATTTTCCTGTATGCATTCCTGTTTTACTTCTGCCTCGTTGGCCTAGTATGGCCTAGTGGTCGCAAGTGCGACTGCCGGGCAAGAGGTCTCGGGTTCGATTTCCGGGTCAGGCAAAAGTATTACTGGGTTTTAAAATAAATCTCAGTAAGGAGTAGCATGGAGTCTGGAATTATGACCGGTATATGGCAATAGGCTCACCCCTACCTATTATATGTGACTCAAAACGTAAATAGTGAAAAGTGGGTGTTACATTGTACAATGGCATAATGTACACCTCTGCCTACCCCTTTGATAAAAAGATAAAAGGCGTGATTCTATGTATGTATGTATTCCTGTTTTACAATTTTACCCTGCCACCCTAAGCAAGAATGCAAAAATCAAACAAACAGTTTACTAGGACGAAGAGGAATTGTGCCCGCTAAACGTTGCGCGACAGACTGTTGTCTATCCACTGCGCCAACAGTGTCTTGTAAGTTCTTGTAAGTTTATTACTTTTTCTATTGTCAAACCGAGAGATACTGTTACACTTACACTAATCAAATGGTACCGTTGACAATACAAAGCTGCAATATATATTACACGCGTTTCGTTCATAGTTCGCAGAAACTTCGAGATCAAACAATGCAGGCAGAGCTTATCTCAAACTTTCACTTGGATACAACAGGGGCCGTTGTACGCAAGCGCATACTAGGTAGAGATAATTATGTCTTTGTAGGTGCATTATGACATGCTAAGCATTCGTTGTTCGTAACAAATACAGATAGTGATGGGTGCAGTCTATAATGATATTATTATGTTTCTGTCTGATGCATCATCCTTTTAATTTTAAACCCCAAAAGATATTTAAGGACACTATTCTATTAGCTCTTAGAATAAGAAGCGTTAGGTGTATTATATTAGATACACCATTATTACACAAATTAGTGAAACAGTCGGGTAATAGATGGTAAAGGTTTTTTTTAGTCTTTTTATGGGATAAGCCGGTAAACGATCAGACGAATCACCTGAGGATTGTTGGGGATTGGGGAAATTGGAAAGGAGCGGGGTATTCGGACCTCCAGTAACCTTACACGACGAAACGCTACGCAAGCGTTGTTTCACGCCGGTTTTCTGTGAGGCCGTAGTATCAGTGCGGTCGAGCCGGCCCTTACGTGCCGAAGCATGGCTCTCCCACACTTAAAAATTGTCTTGTCATGATAATGAAGAATTTTTTGTGACTTAATTAGGTCTCATTGCTTAACAACGCTGATAAGAAACTAGGCTATACAAATATTTGTTCCGTGTGGGAAGGACCTTACAATGTTCTAAAATACTATTAAAAAGCTTTAGTTTCATAATTGATAGTTGACGTTACTTATTCTCGTACAGTTTCTGTGAAATGTGAAGTCCCTTAGTCGCCTCTTACAATTACAACACTTATGAGGAGAATCAGGCTGGTGACATTTATTTATTCTATCGTACCCGTACCTATAGGGAAAAGTTTTTTTAAGGGATAATAGCCGGTAAACAGTAGCAAGCATGATATAGATATATTTTGTACAAGCCTGAGGAAAGCTAGAACTATGATAAGTGGAGACTTTTTTAATAACTGATTTTTGTTTTTTTTTATTATTGTTTTATTTTAAATATGTATTCACCTTTCTTTTGTTTCTATATTTAAATAATTTTCTTGCTGTGTGCCTGTTTTTGGTGTATTTATAATTTTTATTTTGTCCTAGCTGTTACCTATTAAGTCAGTATTCGTGTGAATCTATAAGTGGCTCAATGTTACTATTCTTCTGCTAAATGTATGTAATGTAGCTGTTGATTCACCATTCAATAAATAAATAAATAAATAAATAAATAAATAAACGAGCAGACGGTTCACCTGATATTAGGCAATCGGCGCCGCTCAAGGACACCCAGGACATCAGAGACGTTACAAGTGCGTTACCGGCCTTTTGGGGATTACGAATTTGAGGATTGTAGGGGATTCAGGGATTGGGGAGGGGCGTAATTGGGCGTCTGATAACCTCACTCAAGCGACATAAAAAACCCGAGGGCGTTGTTTCACATTGGTTTTCTGCGAGGCCGTGGTATCACTCCGGTCGAGCCGGCCTATTCGTACCGAAGCATGGCTCTCCCACACTTAAATCAACAAATCAATAAAGTCAATGCGTATAAGACCTTATTCTTCGGAGTCTAATAAGTACGTCAATTAGAGCAATTAATAGTGTCTGTCATGGCCCACAAAGAGTATAATAAGTATAGGGGAAATGGCCCATCTATTCTACCTATCTACGAGTGCATATTAAACCATGTTCTTCGGGGATAATATCTAGTTTCTATCAAGGCCCGTGCCTACGTAGGCCGTCGTTGCAAAGTTCAATCGCATGTTAATTTCCCCTTTTATGTGAACGAGTGGAAATGACATTCTGATGTTAATGGCGCTTTCAACAGCAAAGATCGCGCTTTAAATGTCAAGATATAACTTGGATATGTTGCTATTTTTTAGAGATGTTATAAGTATTTTTGTGCAGGTGTTGGAAGTGCGTTGTTTCTTGTACTTATATTATTTATCTCAGGGTTATCCTCTGAATTCATCTAGAGAAGTATACCGAGCAATGTTTTGTGGGTCACTCATCCCTGTACCAAGTAAACAATGTCTAAACCTACCATCTTTGTCTCCAGGTATCGCGTCTGGTGATCCTCCATGAAGAAGCAGAAGATGGCAATGCGATGCCAGACCTGGCGAGGCCGGTGCAAGCCGTGTCCCTCGCCGTCAACAACCTTGTCAAAGTAAGTGGTATACTTTATTAACTAGTATCTTCTTTGTATTGCTAGGGAAAGAGCAGGCAACTATTTTACTTCATTTTCTGTTGTTGGGAGAGAATGTTTCAAGCATTTAATTACAAAATATGAGAACTGCTCATTTGAAAATATTGTTAAATACTTGGATCTTATTTTTTATGGTATAAGGCGGCAAATTATCAGCCTGGTCACCTAATTGTAAGCAACCGGTGTCGTCTATGGACACCCGGAATACCAAAGAAGTTATAAGTGGGTACTTTTAGTATTGGGGATTCGGAGATTGAAGACCATGTTGAACTGATTAAGGGTTTTTTTTGAGGGGGAAAAATCATCCAATGTCTTCTCCCGCTTTGGTTTAGGCGAGAGGGAGTGTCAGACTTACTGACTAAAAACCACCCCGTTCCTATTCCTGCTATTCGAGCCAGAGCCCCGGCAACCCGTTAGGCTTTCCGCGGCTCCATATCGGGTCTCAGCTCTATTGGGCCCCATCTGTAACTGAATAAGGGTAACATCTCTTAATGATACAAATGAATGACCAATATCTAAAAACCCCCCTTTTACATCTTCTCCAGGTTGGACACGAGACCATTGAGTCTTCAGAAGACGCTGTCCTCAGACACGACATGCCGGGCGCCCTGCATCGCGTGGAGACTGCCGCCACACTGCTGCAGCAGGCCTCCGATATGCTGCGAGCTGATCCTTATTCAGGACCTGCTAGGTAAGAGGGTGGGTAATGGTTGTGGTGAAATGGACAATGGCCATGATGCAGCCATTTTATAGTTCGTCCAAATGTCGGTTTGAAACCACTAGTCCAAATGGATCCAATCCATTAGTAGTAAAATAACGATAACATTGCACTTTGCCAATAGTTTGTTGCTATTAGCCAGGATGACACAACGGCATCGTCTTGGATATTTAACCATTATAGTGAATAAAAGTCTTTCTTATCAAATCAAACTACAAAATGAACTCATGTGTTCGAAAGTTACAAAAATTTCCGACATCACCTAACAAAATAAAATTTTAGTTTGTAAACTTTCGACAGGAATTTCCATGTATATCATCTGTCAAAAAAGCTACTGGAAATTCATACTTTCCGTACCGCAAATAAAGCTCAAAATACACACTAAAATCAACAACATACCTTACATAAGCATCCGCTATTTTAAAATCAATACCGATCCGTAATTCATCACTTCAAAATATTCAGATCAATGCTGCAAAACTGTATGTCATTCACCTCTAACTATATCAATCTAAGGTTCATTATTGCATGACAGTATGCACTTAGGATTTTATAGGAAGAATTTTGTACTATTGTCAAGACAGTTCTTGGTTTCTTGCTATGATAGTCTAGTCACCATGTCGATGTCTATCGATGCAAGTTATTTTACCTTCGATTCGGATAATGCAAGTGTTAGGGAGTTAAAAATAAATATTGTTTGCAGAAAGAAGCTGATTGAAGGCTCCCGTGGTATCTTGCAAGGGACCTCGGCATTGTTGCTGTGCTTCGATGAATCTGAAGTCCGCAAGATTGTGAAGGAGTGCAAGAAGGTAAGGTTTACTTCGATAAGTGTGTATGTGTGCAAATACTCAAACGTAATCCAATTTTAAGATGTTCTCTAAAACATTTCTGTCTCTATATTTTTTTCGGAAAAGACAGAGATAGCACAATATTTAAATAGAGCTTAAAAGTATAAAATATTCATTAATCTTTAGAGTGCCACGTCAGTCACCAGTGCCTGACGCTAGTGGAGGTTTGACACAGAACATATTGTTCTATGAGGTCTGACCATTTTAAACTAGACAGTTAAAGTGTTATGAAATAGTTAAATGAATGAGACAGGTGACGCAAAAAATGATAAGTCATCGACCTCTTTTTCAAAAATTGTTATAATAATGATTTTTTTGCATTGAATATTCCTGTTGAGAGCTTCTTATAAATTACGTGTTACCACATGTGTGTATACGAATTACGTAATGTTTAGTTTTATGCAGTTTTTCGTGAGAATGTTCTATAAATCAAACAGTAACTTGTTTAGCAAACTTATAATAAATCTGAGAATATTTACACACATGTCTGTCTGACTGATTGTTCGTAACATTCATAAATAGCATAATTTATACTTTTAGTAATAATTATAGATGTGATTATTTGAAGTGTGTAACTAGTAACCTGTTTACTTTATAAAAATTGACTAGATGTATTGTAATAAAACGATTATATGACAAGGGCACGGATCAAGAGTCCGTAGAGAATTAATTTGTAACATAAAAAATGGCATATTTTTTCATAGTTCTTATGTATAAGACTATGAGAATATGAAAGTGTATTGCAATAACTTCTATTTCTATTGGGATTGTTCTCAGCGTGAGAAATAAAACGTTTTATAAGGAAAAATATAATTTGAAATTGAATGGGTTAGCACTAGTATGGAGTTAGAAAGTGCATACATAACTTTCTACGATCGATTCATGCAAGATGTTCACATACTGAAATCAATGTATTTTTTGTTGACTAAGAAGATGCTAAGTACCTACTTATAAAATAAATAACAGCATATAACGTCACGCCTTTTATCCCCGAAGGAGTAGGCCGACGCGTACATTACGGCACGGCTACTGTACAATGTAACTTATGAGTCCTATGTAAGAGGGATAAGCCTATTGCCACAACTATATTATACTCGGCACAATTCTAGACTCCGTGCTACTACTGAGGTTTTTTTTAAAACCCAGGCATATTTTGCCCGACCCGGGAATCGAACCCGAGACCCTTTGCCCAGCAGTCCCACTTCCGATCATTCGGCCAACGAGGCAGCTCATATCAACCAACGGGGTAGTTAATAAATAATAATGATAATTAATTGACGTCATGACTTTGTAGTCTTCGTAAAATGCCTAAAAAATTAAGAGAGAACACAGCAAGACTATTTAGATCGCAATTAAATAGATTATAAGATACTGATTTCACGAAAGGAGCACGGCGACCGGTTACAAAAATATCTCAGTATGATATTGCTTTTTAGTGTGTCCGGTGTATAGAAATAAGTTCATCTCTGCTTATTTACAAAAAATGTGTGATATTTTGTACTATACCCATATATTTTATAAATTCCAGGTGCTAGACTATCTAGGCGTGGCAGAGGTGATAGATACCATGGAAGATTTGGTGCAGTTCCTCAGGGACATCTCGCCTGCACTCTCCAGGGCAGCTAGGGAGGTATGTATCATTTTTATATCGAAGGAAAAAACTAATGTCGTGGTGGCTCGGTTACGACGCTCGCTTCTCATGCATGAGAGTGCCTGTTCAAAACATCGGCAAGTACCAAAGTAACTTTTCCGAGTTATATGTACTTTCTAAGATTATTTAAACACCACTGACAAACGGTGAAGGAAAAACATCGAGACGAAACCTGGGCTTATAATTTCTAATTATAAGTTTGAAATCGCCAACCCTCTTTGAGCGAGCGTTGTGATTAATGCTCAAATCTCCGTGCGAGTAGAGGCCTTTGGTCAGCAGTGGCCACTTATAGGCTGTTGACTTCGATAACTAGAAAACATCTAATTTTATCGGAAGTCCATTTTACAATAAGACAATAAGAAAAATAAAGCCTTTGATCTGAGGTAGCTAAACATTAATGCTATATTCCGTCGCAGGTGGCAGCCCGCGCCGCGGAGCTGACCCACCCGCCGCACGCGGAGACATTGAACCGTTGCCTCGACAGCGTCAAGCAGCTCGCGCCCGTACTCATCTGCTCCATGAAGATCTACATACATATACTTACTGAAGGTACACAGACAAAAAACATAGTTTTATATAACATTAAAATTGTTTTTATAATAACTATCGTGGGACATACTAAATTAACTAAGATCGCGGGTTACTCACGAAAATATACTGAGAAGAGAACCCCTCTGTAGTTCGAAACTAGTAGAGCTTTTATATTCTCAGTATATTCACGTGAGTAACCCGCGATTTTCAGTTAACGTTAGAATTATTATACAGGTTGTTTGTCCAGTCAACTTAAACATGACAGTCGAATTAATTAAGGTCATCTCTGCCATACTTTTACGTTCTTTTTTTGCTGTTGCAGGAGGCAAGGGAATGGAAGAAGCAGCTGAAAATAGGAACTATTTAGCTCAGAGGATGGCTGACGAAATACATGAGATTATACGGTAAATACTTATAAATTGAGAATGTTGAAAATAAATTCATCTGCAGGAGTTGCAAATCGTGTTTTGATTGTGTGAATTGATTCTCCGATGGTACAAGTCTTAATGTGATTCACAATTAATAGTCTTTCCGGGTGTATTCGAAGCAGTTTTTTTTTACAAAAATAAGAAAAAAAAATTAGTCCTTAAATGGCTTGTATTTTAATACAACATAACATAACATCATGCCTTTTATCCTCGAAGGGGTAGACAGAGGTGCACATTATGCCACACAACACAAAAGTGGGTACATGGGTGAAATAGGGGGTGAGCCTATTGCTATATACCGGGCACAATTCCAGACTCCGTGCTACTACTGCAAATTTTTAGAAAACCCTGTGATACTTTGCCCGTCCCGGGAATCGCATTGCTACCACTCGGCCAACGAGGCAGTCTTTTAATACCTTCCTTATTATACACACAGAATTTATGACATATATTGTTGAAATAATCGTTGATATGTGATCCAGAGTCCTCCAACTGACATCGTACGTGGAGGACGGCGGAGAGAAGGACAACGTCACAGTACTGAAGGCCTTGCAGCAACAGATACACGCCAAGATGGCCGCCGCGCACGAGTTTCTTAATGTGAGTACTTTTTAGAATCGTTTGTGTTGCTTAAGTAATAAGTATGCATGGTGGATACCCCATCTACACGCACAAAGAGTTTTACTTTTAGTTTTTCATAAGAACTGCTAAAGAGTAGGATTCTTTGCCAGAGTCTGTGTTTCCCGAAGAGGAGAGGATGTCTTTAATACCAAGGGAAACAGGGTGGTAATAGAGTAGATGATTAATTTTTATTTTAATGTCTGTATGGTAGATTATTTAAAATCATTAGATATGTATTTTTTATTTTACAAGACACAGATACTTTCGACGATATATTGATTTGAAATATCGCAGTGACGTCACTTTTGTTTACGTTTTATACTCAAAAGTGACGTAGCTCCCAACTCCTAAACTTTGATTCGTTTTATTTAAGTATTGCTTTTTCTACGAGCAAATAAAAAATATGTGTATACTTTTTTATCAATATCTAACTGACGGACTAATTAGATTTTTCATTTTCGTACCCTGTCATCATCCCTATTATATTTTCTAATTTATTTCCTTGCGGGATGCAAGACAGTTGTTAATGTCCTTATAGGACGTACAATTTACTGTTGGTTGTATAATTTACTGTACATTCAAACTTACAAAGAGTTGTAGTGAATTTGAATGGTTAAGGCGGGCTTTTTCCATTTTTAAATACGGATATATTAAGTTTTATTATAGTTTTTTTTCTATGGTATAAGCCGGTAAACGAGCGGAGGGATCACCTGCCGAGCAGAAAACTGCGCTTCACGTCAGTTTTCTGCTCGGCCGTGGTATCACTCCGGTCGAGCCGGCCCATTCGTGCCGAAGCATGGCTGTCCCACACTTAGTTTGTTAGGAATCCTTGGTGTTGTTTAATGTGAAATTCATCGGAGTTTTATATGATGTGAGTATGTGTCCCCCAGGACCCGGACGCGCCCCGGACGGGCCCGGGCGAGCGCGCGCTGCGCGGCCTGCTGACGTCGGCGCAGCGCGCTGCAGAGCATCTCGCGCCGCAACCTGCTGAACTGACGAGGAGACTTGTCCGGTAAACGTTCACTTACATTATTATCTCTAAACAACATAATTATTTTCTAATTACCCATATTCTGACAGTTTATTTGTGCGACCTACGCAAATGTTCGTTAGGTTGGTATTGTTCGTCGAATCAATCAGCCTCACCTGTTCATTGAGCTGACTGTAAACCGACACATGCGTACTGCTTTCAGAACGGGTCCGCTGAAGCTGTTGTGGTTCTTTCCTCAAAAGGCCACTACAGAAAGAACTTGCACGGTTCTCGCACATAATCTGTTATACATATTGTCTGGACTTCAAAAGAGACGGACCTCTGAGTTTATTTCGGCATTTCTTCTCAAAGTAGTCAGTTAGGAAATGTCGGCCTCATTGTTCGCTTGATAAAATTGACATGTAAAAGTGCTGCCTTGTAGCCTATTTGTTATAATAATAAATTCACTTGTTTCACTATTACCTACGGTAACGGGACTAGTTCAAGGTCCCGATAATTAAAAAAAAATTTAATAACCACATGCATTATATGCATGCCGTTTCAAAAACTGCTTTCTGCATCAGGCCTTTGACCCACTCATTTTACATTAGCCTACTCAGGTATTGGTCAAATCTTTTACCAATGACGCCATTAGCAGATACGACTTTTACTTCTTATTTGTAAAGCATACAATCTCGGGTTCGATCAACTTCAAATAAATTAAAATCATATTTTTACAGATCGGGAGGTATAAACGCAGACCAATTATGCGACGAGCGTCAATACGGACACGGTAGAGAAGCCAAGGTAACTATTAAAATATTATGCCGTACTTTTTAATGCTATGAAATTTAATTTTTGCTACTACATTATTATTACTTATTCGCGGTTATGTTACATTTCAGGCACTGAACCTGGCTTCAGACCTTCGGCACCAAATCAACGAGCTGGACGCCATCGTCAACGAGGGCGTCAGGGCCGCTGAGAAACAAGGAGGGAAGACTATGCAGGCTAGGTTAGTGACGTCGTCAAGAATAGTTCATTGTTCAACATGTTTATTTTTTATTATGTTTTAGTCTTACTCACGTAACTATTTGACGAGGAACTCGACTAGTTTCAAGCTATGTTAGAGGCTCATACTCAAACAGTTACGTAAGTAAGCCGAAAACATAATAATTAATTTAGTATGTCTCACGAAAGTTATAATATAAATATGTTTATTTTTTGTATATAGGGACTATCTAATGGAAAGTAATCAGTTCATTGGATTTGAGGATGTGGGAGATTAAAGAGGGAAGGAATTGGTCCGTGAACTCGTTTCAGTCGTTTCACGTTCGTTTTCTGCAAGGCATGGTATCACCCTGGTTGATCCAGCTCATTCATACCGAAGCATGGCTCTCCCACATTGGATTAGTGTGGTCCGAAAAGACTGTACCGTCCATAAATAAACGGCATTTCTTTCTTCTTTCAGACTGGAGACAGCCCACAAGTGGTTGCTCCATCCTGCCGCGGACCCAGTGACCAGGGTGGAGGGACAGAAGGCCATCAACAGCATCGTGTCGCAGGGACAGAGGGTACGTTGGAAAACTTTACTACACATAATATACACACGGAGATTTAAGTACTCTTAAAACCTATCATAAAAATCCTACATCGCACATGCAAAGTTTACATGCAAATTAACACGGATAGAAAATCCCAACGAATAACTGTTGGGCAGAAAGCCCGCCAGGCATGAACACCTCCTGGTCGGAGGATCCTCTTTTTCCGATCTTAGGGAACTATATATATACTCTCTGTTCCCTAAAGAGAAGTATCCCTGTTGTGATTTTGGCACAATGCGTTTCTTTTTATGAGAAATGCCTTCCCCTTAACCTTTTGAACGCCAGAGCAAAAACGCATGAACTTGCCCTCAACGCCAGGCCACAAATTCACCGCAAATACCTACGAAAAAAATAGGGATTCCAAAACTTCATCGATAATCAATTTTATTTTCATTTTCGTCTTTAATTTCGAAATATAATGTCCTTATAACATTGAAATTTAATTCAACATTACATTTCTTCCTATTAAAGTAATAGTTATACACTATTTACAGACTTGTATAATACCGTAATAACAGATATGAGACTACAATATATTTAAATATAATAACTGTAGGTACAACACTATTCTTGATCTGCTGTCTTCATATTGTGACCATGGCGTGGACGGCCCGCCATTTTAATAACTACTTCGCTTCCGAAATAAGGATGTGGCAACGTAATATCTCGTTTATCGATGTTCTAGTACAATATTATTTTATAATAAATGAAACACGTTTTTTAAATCAGATTTATAATTCCGAATGTAACAGGTACTTAAAAATATATGATTGAAATAGGTTAAGAAGGTAAATAAAAACTATGAAAAAATAGAAAATTTTAATAAAATGTTATACAGTATGTACTATGTATACATGTTTTTAAATATTAAGTTCTATAAACCTGGCATAAAAAGTAACAAATTAAAACAATTAACGATTATATATAATTATCACAATTACCAATCAGTCTTATACTAATAAATCTTTTGAATAATAGAACAAAATTATACAAAATCTACAATGCAACCTGCATTCTGATCATCTAATTCGCTGGGTGCAAAAATCAAATTCGTCCAAAGATTCTGTTTCCGAAAATTCTTCGTCATCTAAGACTCCTTCTAATATGCGAAGAAGTTCTTCCGTAGTCATTAAATTCCCACTCATTATAATAGTCACTTAATATAAATCTTGAACTCGATATCACAAGTAAATTAATCATAAATATTATTCATTCACTTCACTAATTTCTGGTCGCCGCGCTTGTGACGTCACGATATTGTCGTCTAGTCGTGACCATGGCGTACAGGGTACTGATAATTCGGGTTGCGTTAGGGATGCGCTTGAGTTGGGATTAGTGAATATCGAAATTCGACCCAACCAAATTTTATTTTTGACTATGTAGCTTATTGAATGATTTTTATTTTTTAAGACTGGTTTTATAAAATTAATGCTGCTTTATCCTAGTACCAAATTATACCTAAAATAATATATTCCAGAGGAAAGTTTCGAATCGATCTTTGATTTGAAATAATGATATTATCCAACATGCGCTACATCACTAGCGGTCACGCAGTTATGACTCTGGCGTGTGAGGACATTCTTTTTTCAGAGTTTATTTCTTTCTTTTTAACGTAAAATTTCTCAATATTTATAATGCAATTTAATTAGTTTTATGGAAATAAATAAACTTTGGACCTTCTATTTTACAGGTATATAAATAAATAGGCATTAAAGTAATGTTTAAATAGTTTATTTCGTGTTTTAATGTACCGCTGTTTTTGTCACATATTTGTGTCGTTGGCGCTCAGGGACAGTTTTCGCTTGTCACGTATTTGTGACCCTGGCGCTCAAAAGGTTAAAAGAATGAACCAAGCTGGTACAGCTATTCTTGACAATTGTATTTTAAAACGTTCATTTCAAGTAATCAACTAGCTAATACATTGATTTTTATGTTCTCTTGTTATTAAGAACAAAAATATAAACATAACCAAGAACTGTGTGAAAAATAATGATAATTAATTGAATGTTAAAATGAAGTAAAATTCATAGTGTAATTATTTGTCTACTAGATCGCGGACGGTCTGCAAGGCAGAGAGAAGGCGGAAGTCCTCCAGCTGTGCTCGGAAGTCCAGCGACTGTCGGACAAGTTGGGGGACCTCTGTGCCTCGGGCAGGGGGGACAGCGACGAGGCCAGGGCTGTCACTAGGTAACAGACTCTTTCAATCTTGTGTTTAGAATGTACTTGATATCATCTGACTAACGCATATATATCTTTTTTTTATTTATTTTGCCTATCAGAAGAAGTTTTTTCCATTTTTCCAGAAAAGTAGTCTTTATTTCAATCAGACCAATCAGGCACTTATTAAGCTAATCCTTATTTATGTGCTTGTTTTACTGCGTGTCTAGATCATCCATAATTTCCTCTGCGAATAAGAATCTCCATGGTGACTCTTTTTCTATCAGCATCAATCAATTTACAAGCACTAATTACAAAGATTAATCTCTAAAAGAATCTCTTGAAAAACTTAATTCATACCCTATCCACCATAACTAAGATCTATATTCCTTTAACAGAGAGCTGACAGACAAGCTCCATGAGCTGAAGCGTGCGACAGAGCGCGCCGTCGTCAACCGCGTCGTGGAGGACTTCATTGACGTCGCCGCGCCCCTGCGGCACTTCACCGACGCCGTCAATACTCCGCCTGGTAAATATTTACGCATATTTGTTGAAATGTGGACATTTATAATGCTTTTTGATGTGTTTTACAGCGGTTTTGTGATGTTTTTGTAGAGGAAATAAAGAAATATAAAAGTTTTATTGTATATTTTAAACAAGCTGTTAAACGATCTAGAAGCTTGTTTTTTGCGCTAGCTTTATTAATGAATTTGCGCAAATACTGCAATGGTTGCGCAAGTATATTATTAATTTTTTGTCCTATAATTATTAAATCCAAGATGAATAATATGTCTAAAGAGCAATTAGTTGCATTAACTCAAAAATCTGAGTTAACTTCACTTGCGCAAAGTTTGCGCAACAATTTCTCTATTCAGAATCATTTCTTATTTCTAGATTGGTTTATTGCTACATGTAGACTCTTATGCCATATATTTCTAAATAAATAATATTAAACATCTCATAATATTCTTTATTTAAACACTATTTTAACGGTTTTATAGAATTGTACTCTCTTCCCGACGACAGATCTATCTGATATTTGGTACACACTTCTAATCTTGACGACCATACAATATAATCTAACTTTTTCTGCAACTACCTCTATGTATATGTATCGAACGAAGTGCTTGATTGGTAGAATAGAGGTCATTAGAACCGTTTAACTTAAAAACATATTGATGTATTTATTACCTGTATTCCTCAAGGTACTCCAGGCCGGGAGAGCAATTTCCAGGACAAGGCGGCGGCGCTGGCCGCGTTCAGCGCGCGCGCGGGCGCCGCGGCCGGCGTCGTGGCGGCCGGCGTCGGGCACAACAAGAGGCTCGCCGACCAACTCATACACAATGCGCAACAGGTACGTACATTAAAATAGGCTTTTCCTAATTTTTTAGGAGCCCCTAAGCTGGATAGGTGACACGTAATGACGTTTTAGTTTTCACCAACCTATAATCTAACAGTGCAAATAAGGTTAGTTTAAGTGCTCTTTCGCGATTAGGATATCTTAGTTAACACATTGGATGCCGTGTCGGACAATGATGTCCGACGCTAGCGGAGGATTAGCCTTTAACATTTTTATCGACAGGCTTAAGAGGGGGTTGATGAAAGAACAGCCATTAGTCTTAAATGGTTTCTCTTCTCGATCGCTTGCTTCATTTCTGAAGGTCGTGCCCCTAAAAGGCTTTCATTGTTCTCTGTGTTATTTCCTTCCATCTTGTCCTGTTTTCGGCTTCTCTTAGGGCTTTCGTAACAGAGAGTCCAGTGTAGTTGGCAACTTGGTCACACCATCGGCTAGGTGAACGGCCACGTGGTCTTTTTCTTCTTCGGATTTCCTGCTCACTTCCACCCTGGTTCGTTATCATAGACCCAAGGTACACAAAGTCGTTAGCAAATTCCAGATCTGAGAGTTCATTAGTTCTAAGGAGTTAACCGGATCTGTCAATAATCATGACTTTAGTTTTGGTATGGTATTAAATGGTTTAGGGACTACAAATTCTTTTTTTACAATCATTTTACTCTCATCAAACTTCATCTCATCGCTAACGCCTTTTTCTTTAATATCATGCGATAGAAGAAGAATTAAGTTAATATTTCTTCGGTCATCTTTTTCCTTTCATAATCATCATATTCCTTGTCATCTTTGTCATCATGATATTATGTAATACACACTATTATTATTACTTTTACAGGTTGAAAAGCTATCACCTCAACTCATTGCTGCAGGCAAGATCAGACTCTACAACCCTGAGAGTAAGGTATGAACTCTAACTAAAAACTTAGTCGATGTATTCAATAGCACCGACAACTAGAAAATTTAACTGTTTTATTCAAGTGCACCCAATAATATTGAATTCAACACCATTTTTAACGTATCAGGTGGCAGAGGAACATTTCAACAACTTGAAGAACCAGTACGCGGACGCCGTGCTCCGTGTCAGAGACCTCTGTGACCAGGCGGTGGACCCACTGGACTTCGTCAGGACTGCCGGTAAGTTATTATACAAAGGGTCGAATTTGTGAGAGATGGGGTAAGAAAGTGTGATTTTGGAGATAATTATGACCTTGTTATCATTATGACAGTCTTGTAATGTTTTGCGCAACGAATATTAATTGCGCAAACATGCGCAACAAGACAACCTATATTCAAACTTTAGCGCAAAACTGATTCTTAACTCGTCGAGTACCGGTTTTATAGACACAATTAAAGAACAATAGGTCGCGGTCACCGGTGACCGCTTGGTGTTTGACAGATTAAACAGTTGACTATTGGTTTAATAATGAGTTATTGCGCAAAAAGTTGCGCAATTATCAATTCATCAATAAATGACCAATGATCAATCAAAAATAATAGTTATATTTCCTATTAATCAATAACAATTAAATTCTAGGGTATTTTCTATATAGAGTCTATTTTCTTGGATCTTTTCAGTATATATTTACGGATATAGTGAGATTAATATGATGTTAAAACCATATTTTGGGTATTATGAGAGGCTAGAATTAAGTATATATTTCTATACAACAGGTGAACTGATGCAGAAGCACACGTACTTGTGTGAGGACGCGATACGTAACAACGACTCGCAGAAGATGGTCGACAACACTTCAGCCATCGCCAGGTAATGTATTACATTAATTATCTACTACCAGCCGTTGCCTGCAACTTGGTCTACGATGAATATTAAGTGTGTTTTTGAGAATGTATATGTTCCAATTTCCAAAACAAATTATACCCTATTTCTCAGATTTATTAGCTAATAGCCGTAAAACAAAAATACATTTATCCGTTTGTTCCGGAAAGTCTACTGTCTAATGGCTACGGGGTGGGGCGGGCCCGCAGTTAATGCCGCCCGAATGTCTCGCTACACGCTCACCGCGCCCTGCAACTGTATGGTCAAGCTCTTATTGTTCAAGTGGGATATAAACGCTATAGCAATCGTGTCAGGTGGCTGGCTGCCTCGACGATCAACCGCTAGTGTGTCAGGGGACTAAAACTTAAACCTTTACCCCTCTATCTCCCAGGCTAGCAAACCGAGTCCTCCTAGTAGGGGGAGCGGAGCGCGACAACACGGAGGACGCGCAGTTCGCGCGCGCACTGGGCGCCGCGCAGCAACGACTGCAGGCCGCCATCCCGCCCGCCGTACACTGCGCCAAGGCCGTGGCGCTGGGGGACCGCGCCCAGGCCCCGGCCTGGAGGGCCGCCAACTCTGAGGTATGGGCTTTCTTTATAAGTATTGATGTTTCTAATGTTTTTTATTCTGTTCCTATCACTACGGATCTTGAAGTCAGGATCAGCGGTGGTAACACATCTAGATGTTTAATTTTGTCTTTTACCACCATATTTAACTCAACATAATATTCTCGCCCACAGATAATAAACGCGGCCGGCGAGGTAGAGTCAGCCCTGTCGGGGCACTACGCGCCGGCGCCGCCGCCGCCCGCGCTGCCGGAGGCGCTGTCCCGCCTGCAGGTGTCGGGCGCGGCCGCCCCGCCCCGCCCCCCGCCGCCCGCCGGCGCCGCGCCCCCGCCCCGCCCGCCGCCGCCCGCCGACACCGACGACGAGGGAGAGGACATCTTCAGAAGGCAACCTCATCCTAGCCAACCTATTTTGGTTAGTGCACTTTTAAGTACATACATCTTGAAAGAAATTTCTTGCCTTGTTGATAGGGGAAATCTTACTGTGCCTTCACACTAGTCTTTGTCCATCGAAGGAAAAAAACGAAAGCAAAGCAGCGAAAGAGTTGTGCATTAACGATAGGCGTTTTATGGTTTCTGTTTATCTTGATGGGACACAGGGGTCAAGATATTATGCATTCATAATAACCACTATTCACTGCTAAACATAAGCCTCAATGAAGACAAGCCGGATCGGTAATTCTGAATAATAGACTGGAAATATATAAGCTGCGTGTACGATGCAGGTGGCGGCCCACAACCTGCACAAGGCGGTCCGCGAGTGGTCGTCCAAGGACAACGAGATCATCGCGGCCGCCAAGCGGATGGCCATCCTCATGGCGCGCCTCTCCGAGCTCGTGCGCTCCGACTCCAAGGGTACGACCACACTGCTCTTATTACTGTTAAATGCTCTTCACTACTAACTTATTACTATTGACTCATTTAAGTCAAAGAAGCTAATGGTTACTTTTTGATCTTTAAGCAGTTCAAGAAAATAACAAACCTATATTATAATTAACATTCCAAAAAATTAAACAAATGTTTACCAAAGAATCAATTGCTTTTATCAATTACCTAACTAATCTCTATGATAAATTGTTCTCTTTTATAATAACTATCGTGATACATACTTAATTAACTAAAAATCGCGGGTTACTCACGTGAATGTACTGAGAAAAGCTCTACTAGTTTCGAACCACAGAGGGGCTCTTCCTCATGAGCAACGCGCACGCTGCTTATGCACATCTCAGTATTTTCACGTAAGTAGCCCGTGATTTTTTAGTTAAATTGTTCTTTATGTATATGAACATAAGATCTACATTACAATTTCGAAGGTCCCACGTTTATAATCCAGATGTATGTAATTCTGTACTTGCTGTGTAACTATAAGCTCTATATTGTACGCACTATCCATGCTAACACTGTGTCGTATACTGTACAGTTGTATAATTAGGCGCATATTATTTACCTAGCTTTTCCCTATTTATATTCTTGTCAAATTATAAGAAAACAAATGTGCCCGGTATATAGCAATAGGATCATCCCCTATTACATAGGACTCATAATATACATAATGAATAGTGGGTGTTACATTGTACAGTGGCATTAAGTGCCGTAATGTGCATATCTGCCTGTTATGTATGTATAAAATCTCTATTGATAACGATGTTTCAATGCTAAAAAATAGCAAATTGATTTTTCTAACAAAATTATCATTAGTTAATGCAGTGAAGTGTAAAACACCAAATATTTTGGGATAAAGACACACAGGAGAAGAGTTAGACTTTAAACTAATAATTCATTAATATTTCTTGTATGTTATAAAAATATTTAAGATTCTCAACATGCTTAGTAATATGTTAGTAATAAACGATTCCCAACCTGCAGCTGTAGCCAAATGCCACTTAGCGCTTGTCTACATGTAGAATAGGAAACCAAATTATATGGAATTCACGTAAATTTTGACACTTGTCAGTGTCATCCGCATACATTTAGTTTTCTACTCTCTCTGTAAACAAGCGCTAAAGTGGCGTTTGGCTAAAGGCACTGCATTGCCTCCTGGCTTTTTCTAAAGAAATTAAACTGAATATACTTTTAAAAAAGTCCTCCTAAGGCTTTAACAAAGATATTATAATATATCGGTCCTCGCTATCAATGTGTAAAACAATGCTTATATAACAATAATATGCGCTTAAGTGTATGTATATGTATTATGGTTGTATGTACCCATTGTACATGTCTCACTGTCGGAGCAGAGGTCGCTTTGAATCTCAGCGGTAAGTCACATGCCATGCCGTCGTTTGTAGATATATGTAGATAATGTAGAAGGCACGGAATATAGAATACAATGGAAGTAGCTTGAAACAATATTTCTGCCAGAACCGGTGTCGCCAAACTAATACATTTATAATTTACTCATACTATAAATCGGAAGTTACGATTGGTTAGAAAAAAAATGGGCGTAAACGAAATGCAAAAAAAATATCATACGATATGCAACTTTAAAATCAATGCACTATAAATCAAAATAAAAAAGTATATTTTGGACTACCAAGTACCAAAAGTGGTACTTGGTTTGAACTTTAACGTCATAAGAATAAAGGTGATATTTGAATGGCTTATCACTGGCTCGAATGCGGGTCTCTACTCAGATAGTGATGTAGCCTAATTCGATAAAAATAATATCGATAATATGAAAATCTGTTTTAAAAATAATGTGAAAAAAAATATTGACTGCGATAGTGTGACAGTATTAAAATAATAAAATTAATATGTCGTTGATAACTTTTTAAACGTAACAAAAAAGGGTAAGTATTTATTTGCATGTAAATTAAAAATCATTTTGTTCGTATTTTTTATTAGTTTCTTTTTTCAAAAAAACATTTTTTTTTATTTCACATAGGCAATATATGTAACAACTATTACATAAATTTTTACAAACTTTATATGGATAATGTGATAAATGAGAGGGATGGCGATAAGGATGACGGTGCTGATCTGCTCCGTGAAGTGAAGGTTGCTTCCAATCACGTCGGGGTCACCACTAAAATAATAATAAAAAAATAATCTAAATAAATGTTACATTAGACTTGCATCGATATCAATCGATAAATTCAATATGTGATTTGACTACATCACTATTTGAGTAGCGTAGAACTGGCGAGAATGTTCTATTGAATGGAATAAATCCAAAATAAACTTTATCTTGAAGGCGTAAGGTTGATTTTGACTAACCGTTTTAGTAAATAATATTATTTTAATGACCGTTTTTGTAAATTGAAATAAAATAAGATTTCTACAAGAAAACAATGAAAATTGTACTTACCGGTGATACGAAACATCTCCATTTTTACGATTTTTCGGTTGCTATCAATTTTACAGGGCCAAAACGGAACAAAACGGCATAGTTGAGGAAATATGTATTTGTCACGAGACTAGAAACTCGACGCCATATTCGAACGAGACTGAACTCGAATTTGCCTCGAGTACGCAGTACACGGCTCAGTTGTGGCACGCGTGCCACGCCTACTTACTACTTCCATTGTATTCTATATTCCGTGGTAGAAGGATTGTAAAAGTAGTATACATGTAGAGTTAGACATACATTTGATTTTTTTATTCACTGTTTATCAGAGGGCTTAGACCGCGTTCAGAGCTCTGATTGGCCGGTAGCAATGAACCAACCGTCGTTTCGATTACTTAAACGTAAAACAAAACCGCATTAACGCCCTCTGATTGGTGGATTTTCAAAAGTTCACAATTTGTTTCTTATTAAAAGGTATTATTACAAAAAATACAGTCAGATTGAGAACCTTCTCATTTTTCGGAAGAAGTCTGTTGGTAATAATACAGCTCCAAACACAAGCATGCTATTTACTCAACTCCACTGTTATTTCGTCATTTTATTTTATGAAATAAACCATATTGTTATAATACAGGGTGTATACGTAACACTCCCAAACGCTGACAAAAAAGAAATTGATTTTACAATTTGTGTTATTCATGCAACATCAGCCTTGTGCAGTTGATTACAACTATTATTATATAAAAGAAACATATAATTCCTTACTTTTATGAAAATAAAACTTGTTTTTGATCGTCACTTGTCGGCGTTTTGCCGGAGCGTTCCGATTACACTTTATAATTCTCGCCTTTCCTTAAAAATTCTCTTTCAACAATGCATGACCGTTTAAGCATGTCTTAATCACCACCCTACCAAATATTTATCACTAATCCCCACTCTCCTATCACCAGGTAGCAAACGTGAGCTGATAGCTACGGCGAAGGCGATCGCTGAAGCTTCCGAGGAAGTCACCAGGCTTGCCAAGAAGCTGGCTCTCGAGTGCACTGACAAGAGGATCCGTACTGTGAGTATATGTCAAAGATAACATAGAAAATGACAAAAATGGCGTTGGTACAGACGTTAGTCTAAAACTGGACTCGTAGTTCGAATAATCATGTGTAACTGCCGCCTTAGGTGTTTCGGATACGTCATTGTTTTTTTTCTATATATTTTTATCGTCTTCCCAAATATTAGCAAATGCATAAATATATCTAACAACACATTTGCGGAACATAGTGTTTCATTGTTTTTTTTTTACATCATAAGTTTTCAATGCATACGTTTTACAACATTCTATTTGCATATCAAAGACAAGTGAGTTTTAAAGCAATTATCTTAAACCGATTAAGCTCAAATTCAGTATAGTTGCTCAAATTAGATGACAATACAAGACTGCCTCGTTGGCCGAGTGGTTGCAAGTGCGACTGCCGGGCAAGGGGTCTCGGGTTCAATTTCCGGGTTGGGAAAAGTATTACTGTGTTTTTAAAAAAAAATCTCAGTAGTAGCACGGAGTCTGGAATTGTGGCAATAGGCTCACCCCCTATTACATGGGACTCATAACATAAATAGTGAAATGTTGGTGTACAGTGGCATAATGTGCACCTCTGCCTGCCCCTTCAGGGATAAAAGGCGTGATGTTATGTTATACAATATTTCTTAATAATTACACAATAATAATAATATTTGTTTATACCAGAACCTGCTCCAAGTATGCGAGCGTATCCCGACGATTGGCACGCAGCTCAAGATTCTATCCACCGTCAAGGCGACCATGCTTGGCGCTCAAGGTAATTATACTGCTTACCCCTCTTTCATATATTTATCTTCAATCTTCTTCTTACTAATCTATAAGAAGTGTTATTTAGCTTTGCTAACAATACGCGTATATTGCAAAGTATTCAATAATATATGTTTTTAAATACAAGCTTTTTATAACTGCTGATATTATTAATTTATAAGTACGGCTCGTTATTTATAATTGGGACCAACGGGGGCTTACAATAAGCTGGCAATTTAAAAATTGTAATCATTATAGCCTAAGATTGGGTATTCAACTTGTTTCGGACCATGATAGGGACCTTTAATTAGGATTTGGTTTGTTTTTTATGGATTAAACTGGTAAACGAGCAGATGGATCACCTGATCGTAAGCAATTGGCGTCGCCCATGGACACCTGGAACACCAGAGACGGTACAAGTGCGTTACCGGCCTTTTGGGGATTAAGAATTTGAGGATTGGGGAGATTGGGGATGTGGTAATTGGTCCTCCAGTAACCTTACTCACGCGACGAAACACGACGCTGTGGTTGTTTCACTATAGTTTTTTTTATCGTTGGTGGTATCACTCCGGTCGAGCTTATTCGTGTCGAGGCTTGGCTCTTCAACACTTATAGTTTGTAATCTACTCATGGTTATTGGCCCCCACGAACAAGTTGAATAACCTAAATATATAAAATTGAATAATATACAAAGCATATGTTTTTTTAAAATATTATAACGTAGCTTCTAGTACATAATACTAAGCTTTCTCTCTATTAATGCTATGCTTCGCTTTAACAGTCGGCATGCCGGACTACAAAGGTAAAGCATTATGACGTCACACTGTCAATAACACACATACTCATGTCTAAAACTGTATATATTTACTCTACATTGAAAATATCTGTGCAAGATAAACATTCTAATGTGTGTCTTCATAAAACACAAATTCATTGGTTGTGGCGTTGTTGTGGCTACTATGTCGCAGTCAACTATCTTAATTAGCCGTTTAACTAACAACCTGAATGTGTAGCTGGTTAATTAAATGGCTGAGTCTCGTTGAAGGGTGAAAAAGTATTCATTACATGCAAGTTGCTACACTACAATGCGGTAGTTTCCTAAATTTTATTTTAATGACTATCTGGTAGATTAATTTAAAAAATTAAACACGTATGTTGTCTTTTCTCATAAAATTAAATACTTTTGACGATATTAATTGAAATATCGTGTGACGTCATAACGTGCTATATTTTTTTTAGCAATTTGTGACGTAACGACCGACTTAAACTGTCAAACACCGCGAGGACACCGGTGTCCGCACACCTATTGTTCTTTAATTATGTCTATAATGACGTTACTCAAAGGGTTAAATTTAGGAGTGGGACTCCTAAATTTAAGTCCATTATATCTAAGTATACTATTTACGAGAAAATAAAAAATATGTGTCTAATATTTTTTCATTATCTAACTGACTAGTTAGATTTTTAAGTTTCATACCCTGGCAACTACCCTATTGGGGTATAGTTTAGGTTAGAACAGTGAACCCGACGAATTCTAATCACTATAACAAAGTAACTGCAGCGGCGTATAAAAATGCCATTTATTAAACAGACTAAGCTATTTTTAAATGGTTAATTAAGGTCGTTGTATGCGTCAACCATTTAATATTTTCATATAGCTGTGTACTAAAATACATTGTTTATTCATGTGATACAGGTAGCGAAGAGGACCAGGAAGCGACGGAGATGTTGGTCGGCAATGCTCAGAACTTGATGCAGAGCGTAAGTTGTTTTAGTTATCTTTTTATGTATATTTTAAAATTTAAAATTTATTAATTTCAAAATCTTCAGTTTGTTGTTAATTTTCAACATTGAGTTTCTGTCAAAAACTTTGGTTATTTCAGTTTTGGATAGAATTTGGTTATTAGTTTCGGCTGTAAGTGATTGAAATATCAGAATTTGTTTTATGGCATAAGCCGGTAAACGAGCTGACGGATCACCGGATGGTAAGTAATCGGCATCGCCCATGGACACCTGGAACACCAGAGGCGTTACAAGTGCGTTACCGGCTTTTTGGGGATTAGGAGTTTTAGGAACGTTGGGGATTCAGGGACTAGGGAGATTGGGGAAGGGGAGGGTAATTGGGCCTCCGGTAACCTCACTCACACGACGAAACACAACGCAAGCGTTGCGTCACGTCGGTTTTCTGTGAGGTCGTGGTATCACTCCGGTCGAGCCGGCCCATTCGTGCCGAAGCGTGGCTCTCCCACACTTAAATCTGGATCGAAATATTATTATTTAGTTAACTCAAACTTTATTCCATTAAATATTTTGTTTACCGTTCAGTAATAGGCTGTTTTTTGATAATATGTGGACTTCCACAGATATAGACAGATATAGATACACGACAGATATAGATATAGATAGATAAGATATAGACCTCGTTGTGTTTTTTTTATGGTTTAGAAAGTTTAAGATTCTTATAACTTGTTAGAGAAATTCCGAACGGAAATTTAATACACGACTCAATGTATTTTCTTTTGTAATCGTGTATTCTATATATAATATCGGTATATCATTCAAGTGGTTAAATTCTATGTCTCCCATCTGCAGGTGAAGGAAACAGTGAAGGCAGCAGAGGGCGCCTCCATCAAGATCCGCACCGAGCAGGGCGGGTACAGGCTGCGCTGGGTACGGCGCTCGCCCTGGTACCAGATCTAAACACCTGGACCTGCAACCCTGTCTGTACTAACCTCTGTAAAATGTGGAGTCAAGGTCTTCAATTTTATGGTACTTGTTAAACATCTTCTATGTGGGTACTTCGAAAAAGAATTCCAATATTTACTGGCGCCCAACGTGGTACAAGAATGCAATATACTTGTGGCGAGAAAAAAATATAATCAAAGAATAATATTATGAATAAACAGAATAAGCGTCGATTATAATGTTCCCAACTTCGATAAAAACTAAATTCTAGATTCATTCAGGTCAGTACACTTATTGTGATGAAAATTATAGGCCTTTGAAAAATTTATCATAAAAAATCATGTTAATTATTTATTATTCTTAAACTGTTAATTGAAGTCAACACAACGTATCTTTTTCTATCTTTCTCATCTTCCATTTATTAAATACTGTCTTTTAAGATGCGCACACGCATACAAGATCGTTACATATTAAAACTATAAGTACATGAGAGATTTATCATTATAGTTTCATGTTTTAATAATTATTAATCTTTTAAGATAATAACCTCGTTAGTTTAGTGTTTGCTTGACTACTGACTATGAGGTCGTTGGTTCGATTCCAGATTCATGTGGAGAATTCATTAAAAGTCGTGTCCGGTATCTGGCAATAGGCACGCCCGTTATTATAAAAGTGACTAAGTACCGAAAACATATATTAACTCTGCCTTCCCTCTTTCGGGCACTAAGCGTACTGTCAAGTAGTTAAGCTAAATATTTATACAAATGTAATGTGTGTAATTTATATGCGATTGTTATATTTTATTTTCATTGAAATTCACGTCTTAGGGTGATTATAATAAGAACTATGTAACTCAGGCAGCTTCATAACTTTTGTTTTAATGATACATCTCAAAATAATATTTAAGAAAAGTATAAGGACAATTTAAATGAAATTCATTCAACATTCAGTACTACTGTTACAGTAAATCTTCAATAATTATGTTCCAACTTATTATAATCATGATGAAATTCTAAACTACAGTGACATTAAGTCCATAGCAATAGGCTCACCCCCTATTACATGGGACTTATAACATAAATAGTGAAAAGTGGGTGTTACATTGTACAGTGGCATTAAGTGCCGTAATGTACACCTCCGCCCACCCCTTCGAGGATAAAAGATGTTATATATGAAGAAGATTTAAAAAAAATGAAATTATTTTCAACAACTGTTAATTTTATGAACAACGAATCGTTTTATTTAGAACTAGATATATAAATATGAAAGATAATGAAACGTGATAAATAATGTGTGATTCTGAAAGTAAGTGCCATCTCCGTGCTTTACTTAATAGGGTAGGTCCTGACGCCTTCAAATATATCCTATATATACAACATACAATCATACATATATACTATATTATATTATTATGTAAAGGCAATAAATTGTGGTATATGGGAGCTAAGTAACATAACTGATGAAATGTAGGTGTTTATTAAATATTAAATAATGTAAACAATTAATCTATGTATTTAAGTATATAATAATGTGTATGATTTCATTGGCAAAATAACGTAGCATATACTGTGAGCACAGTATATATATACTGATATACAGTACCTGTACATCGTGAATTGTATACTCAATTAAATGTTATGTTTTTCGGTTAACTCACGTAATTACTTGATGAGGAACTCGACTAGTTTCAAGCCATGCTAGAGGTTCATTCATGAGCAGCATTCCGCGACTCGCGATGCGGCGAGTGTCGCACTGGTACTAGTCCTCGTAAAATAACTACGTGAGTAAGTAATAATTAATTTAGTATGTAACACGAAAGTTATAATATAAATTGTATTCTCGCTTGAAGCAATTTACGATCTACGATTATTTATGGGTCTGAGTGTTGCATGTTTGTATATTTGCAACGTATAGCATTTTATGTTTACTATTGAAAACATCCAATCAAAATGGTAAAAGTATTGTTTTTAATTTGGCGGCTATCGTTTTTCTGGTCATCAGCAGCTGTAGCCAAATGCCTTTAGCGCTTGTCTACGTGTAGAATACAAAATCAAATTATATGGAATTGACGTAAATTTTGAGACTTGTCAGTGTCATCCCCCATACATTTAGTTTTTTACTCTCTCTGTAGACAAGCGCTAAAGTGGCGTTTGGCTAAAGGCACAGATGTGGTAAATGTAGGAAGAAGTTTAATCCAATCACTGCAGCTGTCAAATTTTGAACGTCCAATAGTATGCCACGATTTAATTTCCTATTGGACGAGGAACAAGAAGTTCTAGCACTAGCGTAATCTAATGAGCAAAAATTCTTTATGCCTCATTGCCAATGAATTCACAATTTGTTTAAGTACAATATTATAATATACACTTTCTTATAGTATATTGCTATAGTAGGTGCTCTTTCTATTATATAGTAGTTAATATAGAGGCCTACAATAATAGTATTTTAACATAGTGGCCTTAGTATCGCAGCTATTTTTACATATATGTTGCTAACGCTGTTTTCACAAATTAATGTGTTATTCTGATATTTTAGGTAATAGTAATTAAGAATGTTGTAAATTTTAACATCAACGGGACTTATTTAAACGTTTTTTGATCTTTATTCGTTGTAGATGTGGTTGGTACAATGCTACGCCATGTCATGCGAAGATGCTTCAATGCCTTTAAACGGTCTCATTATAACACATAAAGTCATTCTAGTGTGACAAATAAAAAATAAATAGTAAACTATTGTCCAAAGACTCAAACGTTACTCAATTTTAAGTCTTGCTTAAGTATAGTACTCACTACAAATTCTCTGTAAAATGAAAGAGATAACACGATATTTAATCACAACTTAAAATTGTAGTAGCCGTTGCTATGAGAATAATTATATGATATAAAACCTTTAAAATTGTGAAAACAGCTTAAAATTAGCACATATTCATATAGTATTTTTTCGTGTTGTGGTATATTCTAGAGCTATATAACATAGTATATTTACATATATAAGCGTAGGACCGTGGAACGAGAGCAATATTTTTGTATGTTGAGAGTGTGCTACTAATATATTAAAGCCTTTTCCTACGAAGTTGCCGTTTCGAACAACTGAAACGGCAGTTTTGTAGGTAAAATATATTTAATTGAAGGTTAAAATAACATGTAAGTTTATAATATTTGTAAATAACTTTACTAGGGAGCGTTGTATGTAGTGTATAGGTTCTGTATTCGATAGACTTGTATCAAAAAATCTTTAAAAATATCCATTTGTCCCGTGTTTGATTCTTGAATAGGATAAAACAGTATTGGGATATTTACTTTTTACTGTTGTTATCGTTTCGATTCGTGCGGATTGTACAAATAAAGTTGGATTCCGAAAATTTGAACGTCAAAAAGTACATCTTATACTAATTACTGATTATTTCATTCATTTTTCATTCACGGAACTTCGTAATAAATGGTATTGTGGTAGGGAATTTGCCAAGTCTCGGAGGAAACTTCGTTTTTAGAGAGACCTACTGAATTAAAGAATTTTTTACCATTAAAAATCAGTGTGATCAAAATTTCGATATTTAATCCACAAGTCTATCGATAACTTTAAAGTTAGTTGTATTAACGTTTGCGTGCTTATTTTATATTATATCTAAATCTAAGTCTTGTACACTTTACATTTATTTTGTTTTAATATTTTATTTATTCTAATAAAGATTTTTTATTTATATTTTTGTTTCTTTTTGGCTTCCTTTTCTTTGGTTACATTTGCTAATAATTAAAAAAAACACACTGTACAGTAATGTAGAGTTCCATAGTATTTAGTACGCAGGTAAGAAAATACAGATTTTTTCAGTACAGAGACAGTAATTTAGTAATTCAGTAGTGGTACATGGCAATAGGCTCACCCCCCATTACGTGGGACTCATAACATAAATAGTGAAAAGTTGGTGTAACATTGTACAGTGGCATTAACGCCTTGAACGCCATGGGGGACAAGGTATGGGCCACGATAGCGGAGAATTTACCTTTAACAGTTTTCTGTCGGCAGTTACACTGTTAAGTGCCGTAATGCCACCTCTGCCTACCCCTTCGGGGATAAAAAAAGAGATTTGTCGTTCGCAAAGAAACAAGAGCTACTGTCTCTGTACTGAATCAATCTTTTATTTTCTTACCTGTGTATTAGTTTTGCTGGTAGTAGTCATAATACGATTCATTATTTTGAAATTAAATAAAATAATCATTTTATAGATAATTCGTCTCATTACATTTTTTGTGTAGTTTTATGATTTTTTTAATACAAGAAACGTCATTATAGAATTGTAAGACGCAATAGTGTTAGATTAGACTAATACTAAGAAATAGAAATTATCTGTGGTTCACACATCTGTAGACAGGATACTTTAAAGAAATAGTAATAACGTTTGAACAACAATAAATGTAATAGAATAATGTAAACTTGGTGCTAGAATCACATTATTTTCGTATGTACAAGTAATAGTCTTATAGATATAACTTATAGTCGATAGAAATAGAAAATAAATTGCAATTACCTCGAAATTATGTTAATACAAAAGATTAAACTTACAATAAGAATAAATTTCATACAGACACAGAACAAGCTATATTTATAAATCTCAACCTCAAATACAAACAAAAGAGAAAAAAAAAACTATTTAAAAAACATCATTTCGATATAAGTAATAATTTGTATGTAACGATATTCATTAATTTAAATTAATGCAATGAGCAAGTTTCCACCTGGCCTAAAACAATAATTAGCGGGATTATCCCTCTTAAACAATGTTTTAGAATAAGCTTATTTCTAATTTAGGTATTAATTTATCTAATTTTAGTAGGTTTCAATTTATTAGGCCCCTTTTGAACTTATTGGACAGGAGAGTCTAGCTCTTAGTACTCAGAAGGATAATACTAAACTATAAATATAATATAATAAATAGTTGAATATAATTTAGACTTACTAAATGTAAGTCTAAATAAACAATAATTCTAATTCAATTTTCTTAATCTTGAATGAGCTTT